GCAAATTGAACAGCAAACGGACAATTTACTTCTATTTTAGATCCTCATTGATCTGCCAGACTTGTCTTCACGTGCATCCATGTTCCAAATCAACCTCCCACAAAACGCAACAGACACGGCTGGAAGCCTTGTTATCGATAAAATGGACTACGATGCCTTGGCGCATCTTTCGGACGGTTATTCTGGCTCGGATATTCAGCTTGTGTGTAAAGAAGCGGCAATGCGGCCGTTGCGTCGGTTGTTTGATTTGATTGAGATTAATGATGCTTCAGAGAGTGGCGGTACTTCTGAGATGGGTTAGTTGAGCTGTTGTATCTTTTGCTGAAAATGCTCACTCGAATACCAGTGTTTTCACGGCAACCTGTTTCGATGGCGGATGTGGAGGCCGCACTGAAATCGACGCGCCCGTCAACAAACAACAGCCAAACGTCAAAGTACAAACAGTGGCAGACTGACTTTGGGTCTGTTTGAATAAAGTTTCTTTATTTCTGATTCCTACCTAACACTGTGCAAAAATGAATGTTTTAAAAAAGGCCGTAGCGTGCCTGCGAAAACTGCATCAATGCTTCCAACCCACTCTTGGGAGCAGCTGAAGTAAAAATGGCGGGTGCCGCTGCTGCTTTGACGGTGTATGCCTCCAGTGCAACTGCTTTCGAATCGCTTTTACCCACCACCAAGGTCATATCCTTCACTCCGCCGCACTCACGCACAACAACTGTTGTATCGAAATCTAGCTTAATGTACCCAAACATGAGCAGGTTTCCGTCGCCGTGGATATCGCGTTTCACATTAAATTTGCCAGTCGCAGATACGGCGTCCGTCGACTCTCCGACCATTGCAACTAAAGGTCGAAATCCAGGACTCCGCAGTTCCAAAGGCTCTTCATTGGTCATGCCCGCACGACCCAACCGAATTTCCCCGCCCATGCATTTTGTCGTCAGAGTCCCTCGGAATCCGTGCACAATTCCGCGCACAAGACCGGTGTTTACGTGAATCTCCGTAACGGAAGCAGGACTTCCAGGCCAGAATGCGCCGCACACTTTCCCAGTAGTGACAGAGATATCGCACGTTTCGTATCCATCATAGATTGCATCGAGTTGCCCGAAACCGAGATTGAATGTCATCGCGGATGAAGCAGATGCCTTTTGGATCGTAATGTGCCCGTTTCGCAAGTCGACAGCAAGTGTTTTCGTCACGAGAGTTTGAGCGACAATGTTTCCGATCCCGGCGCTGAGAGAGGCTGAGTGGGAGGCGATTACGCCTGCGTTGAGAGCGATTCCGTTTGAAGCAGTGACGGTGAAGTCACGGCATGAAACAGCCGTGTTGGAGACAAAGATCCCGCTTTGCAGGTTAACGCTTACGGTGCCACGCATACGCATCCCGTCTGCAAGGACCGTGCCGTCGGATAGATCAACTGCTAGATGCTCAACATCGAATGGGACCGAGACGTGCATGCGAAGAGTTGGTTTGCGAGTCATGATCGAGAGCAGCTTCGAAGCTGGGAACTGGACAGTGAGATGCACTTGATCAGAATCGTTGGATGCATGTACGGAGGTGTCTTCGATCTGGGACACTGTCCCCGCGAGAAGTGACCACGAGACCCTGGCTTTGGCGTCCTTTCCGCCAGCGTCAAACACGACTTCGCACGACCCAAGACCAGTGCATGAAACAGATAACGAGGTGAAACCAGGCGGCAGATGGAATGTTGTTGGCGCCAGATCTTGAAGGCTTGTGCTGGAGCTTCCAAACATTTTTGTTTGATTTGCCAAAAACACACGGTCCTGTGTTGTCAAACAAAAACCTTCGCGATTTCTACACCTGGATGTACTATTTAATGTTATCGTTCGAACTGATGCATTGGACGACAGGCGGAGGAAGGGATACGGGCATAGAAATAGTAGAGCAAATCGCACGGATGCTGTGACGGTCATGTCGGGGTGGGTGGAAACAACATTTATGATTGATCTTGATTCATGGCCTTCTAAACAGCATGGCATATGAGACGGCTGGAAGAAGCCCACGAATGAACTGGATGCTAATTAGTTGCCGTTAATAAACAATATTCTTGACTACTGCCGTGCCACAACGGTTGTTGCGCTTGTTACAGCTCCAGTCTGAGGTATGGCTCAGGAGCAAGTTCCAAGCGCGAGAGCATTCTGGTAGCTTCTGTCTGTGGCACAGTCAAACCAGAAATGGTGGAACTTTCTCGCACTTGCTCAAATTTTCACGCCACAAAAAAAACACGTATAAAACCTTGGTAATCCACCAATAACTAAATCAACTACAACAACATCCAAAAAAAGCAATGGCAATCTACATCAAACGCGACCCAAACTTTAGCGAATTCGACCGCCTCCTCAACGCCCACCTCAACTCCCTCACAAGCACTAACGACACTGCCGCAGTCGATGCCAGTACCTCTACCAACCCAAACCAGTTGTCAAAGTACTGGGGTGGCTCGTTTAACGCGCGCTTGGACCTCACCGAGACTCCGTCGAGCTACTTGGTGCATGCGGACTTGCCTGGTATTCCAAAGGAGCAAGTGCAAATCTCTATCAAGGATGATATTCTTACGTTGAGTGGGGAGAGATCTCAGCAGCGTGAAGAAAAGGACGAGCACAGACATATTGTTGAGAGAAGTCAGGGCAAGTTTTCGAGAAGCTTGCGTCTGCCGCGTGATGCGAATGTGGAGGATGTGAAGGCGACGATGGAGCACGGGGTGCTGGAACTGGTTGTTGGAAAGAAAGTGAAGGAAGATGGCGCCAAGAAGATTACGATTCAGTGATTTCTTGATTTATGTCTCCTGATTTATTTACTGAATATTGCAATAAAATAAATAGCATCTACTTTGATTTATTGCATCTCTAGTTGAGGTTTTCACGTCGCTCGGCTACATCTATAACCGCGGTCGGAAAGTCCGAAGTTGCCACTGTTTCTGCAAGCTCGGATTCGAGAGAAAAATTGCTGCAGAGAGTGTCTTGTGACTGGGAAAGGCCGAATCAGAATTGTGACGAACACGAAAGCCATTTCTTTTTGTGTAATTTTTTCAACTCCCAATTTCCTTCATGAATGCATCAAACTCATCCTCCGGTTTAGTGGGCCCCGCAGCTTCAGTTCCATCATCTACATCTGGCGCAGAGTTTACAACAACACGCCCAATCGCTCCACTCCGAACGGCTTTCGTTCCACCCGCTGCATTTACACCCACTCCAGTACCAAACACAGAACTCGGACCAACCCCGCGACCACGCTTTGCAGCCGTCCTCGGCACAAATTGTGTCAACTCTTTCTGCAAGTCGCGCATTTTGGGTTCGACGCTGATTGTAACAGGTCCTGATGCTGCAGCTGATACAGCTGGTTTCGTTGTATTCGAAAATAACGTTGATGCGATTTGTTCGTTGTTTTGCGGAAAACTGGGTTTCGCTGGTAATGACGTATCCCGCACTATTGTCGCGTTCTGATGGTTGCGGCGATGCATGGGCGGCGGAGGTGGAGGTGGTCGCATAGAATTGTAAGGTTGTCGCGGAGGTTGTAACACTGGCGGTGCTGAATATGTTGGAGGCATTAATCCGGGTATCGCTGGCGACTGCATATTGGGAGGGAATCCCATGGCTGCAGTTATTGGAATCGGCTGGTATCCATGAGGTGGCATATGCATGGGCATTGGAATAAACCCAGGCTGCGCAACCATTTGAGGAGGAAACGGGAATGCAAATGGTGGGCCTGGCACAGCATGCATTAGATTAGTTGGATGCTGAATAGTTGCTGGTGCAGTTTCGGGTTTTCTAGGTGGAGGATTCGGTGTTTTTGAGTTTGGTGGAAGTGCTTCGAGTCGAAATTCGGGAAGATCAAGGTTGTGATAAAATTGCGAGTCCATGGGAGCTTCGCCTTCAGGAAGTGGTAGATTACTGTAGTCCAAAATGGGGATTGCATCTGTATGTTTGCTGTCAGTACATGTTTTAAGTTCGCATCGGTGGTTATTTCGAACCATCTTCGTCTTCGGAAGTGTCATCCGCATCACTTGAATCTTCGCCCACATCCATTCGCGATTCAGCTTCCATTTGACCTGAGCAAATAATTGAATTCAGGTTCACGATACACCTCTTCGAAAAAACATTGCCTTCACCCTTTGGTGGTCGTTTCGGGCCATGCGGATTGTATGTAGGATGGTACCATTTGTAGTCATCCTCTTTCGCCTGGGTCTTTGGTTTGGCAACTGAAGCAAGACTGACACCTGGAAGTCCCGCCGCCTAAGAGAACAAGGAATCAGAATTAAAATAAAAATAAAGACCCATTTTCAAACACACCCGTCGCGCTTCGTTGATTTCTTCGAGCCTTTTCTCAATCTTTTCTTTTTTAGTGCGATTTGCCTTGTCGAGCGTGCTTTCCTTTTCTGAAAGACTACAGTTGAGTCAAAGCATACGTGAATTCAAACGCACGCTTTACCAATCCGCATCAGCACATTCAGCTCCTCCGCTAACCGCAAAGCCTCCTTGTGCGATGCTTGAAGCTGCTCCTTCTTTTGCTTCACATCTTTGTTCTGCGAGGGAGTCAGGGTTACCACTCGGACAACGCATTCGACAGGGCCACGCACCTTCTTCAACTCCTTCTTGCGCTCTTTTTTCCTCAGCGCCTGTGGTGTTTACATCATGCGGTGAACCACGAGATGATCAAGAGGAAGGGTCACTCTCACGTCGGCTGGGTTCAGTTCTTTTCCCTTCTTTGCCATTTTTTTATTCGTCTCCTTGTTGGGCTCTGATGAGATATCCAATACCCCAAGCTGCCGCGTCTTCATTTCAAAGTCTTGGGTTCATCACGGAAAGTTATTTGCTTGCCAACGTTCATGAGCCTTTTTTTTTTTTTTTTTTTTTTTGTGTGGATTGCTTCTCGCGCACCTCTCTGTGCGCTCGTTCGTTGTGGTGAAGACGCCTCAGGGCGTCATCCAAACAAACTTTGTCACGGTAACCGAGTATGGTTTTTGACGTTAAAAGCAAAACGTGTGCCTCAGACCAGGATTGAACTGATGACCTTCTCCTTACTAGGGAGACGCGCTACCGCTACGCCACTGAGGCCACGATTATTCGAGAATGAATAATCATTCTCTTTTACTTTACTGTACGGCACAAGTTGATGGAAACTGTCAAAGGAATATCGGATTTTCATCAACGGTGGTGAACATACTGCCGAATGGAATATCAGCCAGGAAATTCCTGGGAGATATAAGTTGAAGTGGAAGCTTCCTACCCTTGTTGCCCCGCAATCAATGCTGCCCGAATGATTTTATGTGTCTGTCAGCATTGCTGAGAAAATTGATGACAACCGAGTCAGTTGGTTTTGTGGTTGCTCGCTGCAATGCCGGCTGAAAGCAGTAATATGCTGCAGCGTTCTCAGCGGACATTTTTGCTGCAACTAACCATGACGGTCGTTGGTCAGCGGATCAGTGGTTTCTGGAATTCCGGTTGTTGTGGTGGAAAACCCCAAAATGACGATGCCTAAGTGACCGGAGCGGGTGCGCTCGTATGGAAAGAGATTCAATAGAATGAGAGGGCCAAGGGGTGTGGCATTAAGAACAACTGACTTGTTGCTGTCTGTCAGGCGATTCACAAATCATTCCGGTACAAGCAGGAAAATGTCATGATTCGGGGACCAAGTGATATACATTCGGTGACTCTACTAAGTAATAGCCTATGAATGCTCAGGGAAGCGGGACGTTGTACGAACGTTGTTTCAAGTCTGAAACACGTGCCAATTAATCGACCCAGAATAAAGCGTTTGACTTTGTACTGACTTTATTGAACATAAACACGAGAGAGAATGTCTATATCCGACAGAAAACTGTTTGCTCTCTACGTCTATACTCTGCTTGAAGGCATATTTTTTCTGAACTTGGCCAATTTGGCAGGTTGATATTTGCACCAATTTTTGGTCAAACCAATTGATGTCTTTATATTCAACTAAGGTTTTGAGATATTCGTAGCCTCAGTGGCATAGCGGTAGCGCGCTTCCCTAGGTCATCAGCTCAATCCTGGTCTGAGGCACACAGCTTTTGAATTCAAAAGGTGAGTATTTCTCCATGCTTTTCCTCATGGTGCGGCTTAACGGCCGTCATCACAAGAGCCCAGGGAATTCAGTCCGGTTGACAAACCCTTGACTCACAGTGACGACGCGCTCGACGGCGATTTTACGTCAAAGCGCCATCCGATCTTGCTCCAGTCGAACAAATTGCTTAGGGATGTAAGAATTAGTTGGTTGGACATGTGTGGAAGGCAGCTGAGCTGAAGAAGAAGATGATTGCAGACACTCTGGCACCTTCCAACCTGCCACTCCAATAATATGCTTTCGAATCCAGGTGCCAGATGCATTAAAAATTCATGGTAAACAAACGTCCATAAAATTTAAAAAAGACTCATGGCTTGCTGTGGACAGAGTGGCATCAACCCCCGTGGGCTGCTTACCCCAAACCATGTTGCACTGGTCAACAAGGTGTATCCCAGTGATGCGGGAGAGACTGGGCCCCGGTCTGCAGCCCTGTCGTCGCTGCTGTTCTACGCAGACTCGAAACCAATCAAGCTGGCGAAAGTGGGCGAGTGCTTGGCACGGCGGACGGACACTGACCTGGCCAGGGGAAGAGAAGGGTGAGTTTGTCATGTTTATCTTCTGTGGGATGGAATTTGCCCACCCCCCTTCCTTCCGCTGAATTGGTTCTCTGCAGACACGTTAAAGTCACCCTCATCATCATCGATGCGCTGCTGTCTCAGTGCCCTCCAGCTCACATCAATATCATGGCAAAGAGCGTTCTACGTGTCATTGATTCAGTCACAGCATCTCCCAATGCTGATCTCATGCTGGATGCCACATCGACAGTGAGTTGCGATACTTCTTTCTGTTACTCTGCTTGGGAAATGCAGAGTGCTTTTCTGTTTCATCGGACTTATTTTTGAATTGGTGCCCAGTTCGTGACCTTCAACAACCTTTACACGCATGACACAATCATTGACGTCGAACTCACTGCGCTCTATTCAAAACTTGTCTACAAATTCTGCGCTCAATGCACATACGCCACTGCCGACTCGGTCCTCCAGAAAAAGTAAAAAACATTCACACCCTGAAAAACTCGCCCCAATTTCAACACTAACCATCGGATATGCGAAGCAGACTCCATCTCTCTGGCTTGCGCGCAATCCATTCCATCACAAACAGTGACACATTTCTTGTCAACCCGCGAGCCCCCGAATACGTTTCAAAAATTATTCCCGCTCTCCTTTCAAACCTGCACGAAGAGAAACGAATCCGATCCAATTCTTCAACCGCCCAACCAGCGCCATCTGCTTCCCAAGCTAAACACCGCGGTGAAGGACATACCCCCACCCCCCACATGCGGAAACACAGCATCACGGACGGTCTCATTACCAACCCTCTTCTTCATCATAGCGCTTTCGAAAGTTTATCAACCTTTCTTTCGAAAACGAATGCGCAGAATCTGCGGTTTGTGATTGCTCCCGTTTGGGCGTACATGGACAAGCAGGGAGAATGGGCCCAACGAGCGCATGTCGTCTTTCTGGTGGATGCTATTGTGAATGCCGTTGCGCCACAGCATCGATATGTAGTTCTGGGGTCGTTGCTGGAAAAGTTGAGTAGTTTGCCAACGGGAAGTGTGAAAGATCGGGTTGGAATTGTTGTTGCTTTGACGGTGTTTGTTGCCGGTGTTGGTGACGTCGCCGCTGGTAATGGAGGGAGTAACGTTGGAGGCGCTGGTATTGCTGTTGTGGAACTTTTGGAAGCCCTTGTTGGACATCTCGTTGAGATTGCGGGAGCTGCCGAGCAGTCATCTTCCGGCGCTGGTGCTGAAAGTGAAGTGAAGCAGTTCTATGAAGCGTTGATCGAAGCTATCGGAGCATTGGCGATCCATGTTGCGTATCCGACTCAACTGAGTGATATCATCTCGTTCATTGTCAATCGATTGGAAAGGATGTGCTCAGGAGCGAACAAAGGAGACTGTCTTGCCGTGAAAAAAGGGCTTCTGCATTGTCTTGTTCGTATCGTGGCTGTTCGGCGATCGTGTCTGTCTCCGCTTGAATCTTTGGCATCCAGAAAAGAGATTGAAGAAGTGGTTGAAGACGTTGAAGCAGATTCTTCTTTCGTTCTCGAATCATTCACTTCTCTGTCGCGCAACGCTGCATCGCACATGCGAAACTCTCGCTCGAAACGCGCGAGTCTGACATTTCCTGCAAAAATCTCGCCGATTCTGTTGATTCCAACCTTGGAGCTGTTGCTGGATGCAAACCAGGATGTTCGTATGCTGGAGGCGCAGTTTATTCAAAGTGCGCTGGCACTGGAAGTTGTTCAGCAGCAGATCTTTGGTGGACAAGCGGTTGTCGCTTCAGAGGACATTGAGTTTTTGGACGTTTTGTACTTGAAGCTGCACGCTCTGTCGCTCGGAACTGGTGTTATCAACGGGCCTGTTGATTATGTGGCAGTTGGCTGTATTGTGAGTAACGCATTTCAACGGTTTGGCCCCTCAGCAGAAGGTATTGGAAGGACCTTGCAATTTTTGTTGAAGGCGCAGGTGTGTGTGACTGTTATTTCTCTTTTTGAAACTTAATTGATGTGCGCTTTTCCAGGCAGATGCTGAATCTCAGCCAAGCGTGAAACCCATCATTCGATTCGCTGTGACTTGCCTTCTGCGCGACCATTTGCAAGAGTTGGCCAACGTTCATCAAATCTCAACTCTGCAAGCGTACCTGGAAACTCAGAGCCCGTCACCTCAAACTGACCCAGTGCTGATAGCGACGACAAATCGAGTGGACATTCTCCAAGCCAGTGTTGCACATTACGTCCTTCAAAAACGAGTGGAAAACATGAAACTGGTTGCTGCGCGGACTTTCAACGAATCTATTCCAATTCCTCCTTTCGTGGGTATTCCTCGAGATATAGTTGTCCAAATGCTGCTAGCAGGTCTTGGGGGCAAATCTACTGAGATCCGTGAAACCTTGGACACTGAGTTTTCCACCAATTTGAAAGACGCTTATCGCGGCGGTTCCAAGCCTGCAGTCGGCGGGGTCGCTGGTATGGGCGGGATTGCGAGACCGCGATCTATCAAGCAGTTTTCCATTATGCAAACGGGTAAAATTGGATCCGTGGAAGGCAATGGTCCTCCTTCGCAAAGTCTTGGAAGCGATTTGTTGAAGCCTGGAACTTCTTCGAGCGTGAGCGTCCGCAGTGGAGTTGATATTGGGGGTGGGAGTGTGTCTACTCGTCCGGATACACCAGTGAAATTTGAGGATTTAAAAGATGCAATCAGTTGAGTCGGAGGTGGTTGAATATGAGCCCGTTTACTGATTGAATTTCTTTTTTGTTATAGGCATTCACAGCAGCGCAGATGCCACTGGCAAGGGCTCCAACAGCATTCGAAGTGTGACTCCGAGTGCGAGACAGGGCAAACTTGATGTCAAAAATTTTCTGACCAACATTTCATCAAGCATTTCTAAGTAAGTTTTTAGTCTGGTTCCTTCAGTCGCGCGATATCCACTGACGCGAATCAAATGTTTAAAACAACAGGTCAAATTTGGGTGGGAAACACTTTCAGGAACCAGGAACCGGCAAACTTCACAACATCCAAATGACATCGCGGGATCGGAAAGGACCGAATGTTGTTAGCCACGACGAAGCCGCCTCTTCTGTGGGAGCTGCATCTGAAGTCAGTTACGCCGGAAAGTGAGGCGTGGAAATTGTCTTGCCTTTTTTTTTTCTTTTTTCTTTCTTTTTGGTGACGGCTTTTTGGGACATGTCTGGCTTTTCAAAAGGGACGGTCGTTTTGGAGGCCATTCTTGTGCCCTGCTTGTCTTGTTTTAGATTTCGATTCATTTATTCTGATAAACTTAGTAGACGTGGCAGTAAAGACCTTTGGGCTGATGTTTGTGCGCAATCAAGAGCGAGAATGAGAGAGAAGATGTGTGACATGAAAACTGTGTTCATCCTCCAAACATGCAGTAAAGCAAGTACCCGTTATGTCGAGTGGGAGGACGCTCAAACAGCGCCGTTGTTGCCGGTGTATGGTTTCGTTGTGATGCTA